CGGTCACCTGGGAAAAAAATGTCACATGCATTAGGAATGCCGTATCTATGGCAAATTCAATGAAAACTTTGGCATTCTCAAAGAGTAATACACCATTTTTTGACATTTTTAGAAGAAAAAAATGGCACTTTTTTACAAAAATGACATTTTTTTGCACCGGTCGGAGGTGGTGGTGCAGGGAGGCAGTACAGGCGGTGGGAAAAACATCCATTTTTTTTTGGATTTTTAATATTTTTATTAATTTTAATTTTTTTAAAAATAATTTTTTTATAAAAATTTTATTAATTTTTAATTTTGTAAATGTTTGTTAATTTTTTTATTATTTTTCTATGATTTTTATTATTTTTTACGATGTTATTATCGATTAAAACATTTAATTATAACTTTTAACTATCTTTTAGTTTTACTCATATTTAAAGAAGTGTTAAGAATGGAATGAAAAAATAGGTATGTTTCTAAATAAGAGTAATATGATCTTATTTTGAAATAAAAACATAAGAAGTCCTATTATTTATTTTGACCACAATTTTATTCCTATTTGGGGTACTTTCTAAATTCACAACCATGTAATCATTCTTCTAACACTATATATACATTTGTTTTACCTTTCTGCGAAAGCGTGAATTATATGTTTAATACTTCAAATATATTTTGTTTATTTTGACAATAAAAATTGGCACGGGAGATGCCTTTTGCAACAACATTGTGATGCCTTTTGTGATGTTAAAGTGGTTTCATAACAAAGTACCCATACAAATACAAATATTATACTCCCTTCCGTCCCTATATAAAGAGCATGTTTGCTTTTACACACATTTTTAGGAGGAACACTGTTTGACACTATTTTGCACTGTTTTGTTTACTAAAAAGGGAAATGTGTCTTTTATATAAGGATGGCCGAAAAAGGAAAGTGTGCCTTTTATTTAGGGACAGAGCGAGTATTATTTATTTTTTGTATATATAAATGTAGTATTAATAATTTAGAAAATAGAAATTTTATTTCAATTCGAGTTTGAGCATCTAATTCGAACTCAAACCTATAGAAATCAATTAGTAGAACTCGACCTGAGCTCGAACCGAATTCGAGTTGAACTCCGGCTCGTGAATTCTTATCAAGCTCCATTAATAAGTGAAACGAAACATATTTCCAAAAAGTATAGAACTGAAAGATTGAAATTTTATCCCAACTATGGAGATAATAGTTAGAACCTAGAACAAAAAGTGAAGTGAAACACTTTCTGAAAAGTATAAGAAATGCCGAAATTCGTCCAAACAAAAGACCAGGACAAAAATTTTAACCAATCATATTTCTGAAAGTATATTTACTGATTACGATCACAATAGACACTCTAAAATTTGTTAATCTCTTTTTCTGAGATTCACTCGAGCCTTCTTTTTATTCAGACTTGACAAAAGGGATAGGAGTCAGAGTCATAGAAGAAAATGAAACAAATAACAAAGCATTGCACAATATGTTTGGGTTTTCCTATTTCTTTTTGAAAAATCGATCAAAGATTTGATAAAGAGCTTGAAATAGTTGTTAAGATATGAGATATGTTTGGGTTAACAACCTGTTAGGAAGAGTAGCTCAGAGCTTAATATAACACTCTGTTGATTCAAACTTTTCTGGTTTGAGACTTTATCACCTCTCCTCACGACAAGATACTTCGTCTATCAGACACTTCGTCTGGATCGTGTAATCATTCATTTTTTTCGTCGTTTGCCATTGTCATTTTTTTATAATCGTATCATCATTTTTATAAGGGTCTCACAAGTCACATCATGATTATAGATCGATTTGGCTCTAATACCGTGTTAGGATGATATATGAGATGTTAACGGTAATGTATCTACTTACATTTTGTTTCATAATCTAAGAACATCTCCCGTTGAAAGATACCCTTTGTCCATAACATTAGGAAAATAAATATAAAATTTTAGTTATTATTAAATGTAATGAAAAAATATCTATTTGAATAAAAAGATGAGAGAGAACATTGGGGTTTGATTCAGTGATTTATGCCCATGTCTAGGCATGGCCTCGGTTCGGGCCGCCCGGCCCGGGACCGGCCCGACCCGCTACTGTGCGGGCCCGGCCCGGCCCGGTTATCCGGGTCCGGGTCCGGTTCATGGTTTTGACGGCCCGGCCCGGCCGGTTCGGGCCCGGGTCCGGGCCAAATCTATTTTTTTTTTTAATTTTTTTCATTTGTTTTGGGCTGTTGGGCTTGGGCTATCTGTTTAGGCCGGTTTGGGGGGGTTTGGGGGGGTGGGGGGGTGGGGGGGTGGGGGAAGAAAGGGGAAAAAAAAAAAATTAAAACCGGGTGGCCCGACCGGCCCGGCCCGGCCCGGCCCGGAACCGGACCCGGAACCGGTGGCCACCGGTTCGGGCTCGGGCCCAACAAAACAGACCCGAGGCCCGGCCGGGCCTAGGCCCGAACCGGGCCCGAACCGGCCCGGGTCCATCCATACCCATGTCTAGTTTTTTTGACGTGAACCATACACGAGAGTTGACACTAGGGAATCAAAGAAAAAGTGGGAAAAAGTGAATTAGAAAAATTCTTAGAAAATAAATTTGAAAAGTCAACCTAGTACCCTACACTTCTACATAACCAAAACCACCATTTCACTTTTTTTTACTTCACACCTTTCACGGATTCTTCACATTTTATCAAATACTCAGTTGAATGCAATTTATGTCAGAAACCTATAAATATAATAAAATGTGTAAATTTTCTTATCGTTTTGTTCGCTTACTATTAATACTATAGTATGAGCCTATGAGGATGTGATAGGATGTGATATGATCCTAGTATAGTATGAGGAAGTGATATGATTCTTTTTAGGTTAGGTGAGAGTATGGTTTTGGAGGAAGTGATAAATTTGATTTTTACTTATCACTTTTCTCTCTTTCTTTTATCTTTTTATCTTCTTTATCTTTCTATGTTCTTATTTTCTTTTATTTTTCTTATGTGATTTTTGTCTTATATTTACCTTTATCATATCCATATCTTATTTTTTTATTTTTTATTTTTCTTATCTTTCCTCTCTTTTTGAATTTGAGTCGTGGATCAATCCATGTTAGCCGATCTCAAAATCTTTTGAAATAAGGTTTTAATGTTTTTTTGTAGTACTATTAATACTGTAGTATGTAAAAATTACTACTTAATATAATATAAGTGGGACTCATATGAGTTATATCTTATAACAAAACTTGTGATCTTAATAGGCAAAGTCAATCTCAGTTGGAAGTTTGAAGGTGAGAATATGATAGTGAGAATGCTACTTCATAGTTTGGAATCTTTGGATTAGGACTATGGGCTCTGGACTATAGGACTAACTTCAAGTTTTCAACACTTTATCCAAAGCATGATGACCGCACTTCAAGTTTTCCAGGGAGTGTCCTTTAATTATGATACTCCCTCCGTCCCACTAACAATGGAACAAGAGGAAATGATACGCAAATCTATAAAAAGTTGTTTATGTGATTATTATTGAATTGATAAAGTAAGAATAAAGTAGGAATGATTTAGAATCACACAAACTTTACAAACAAGGTATGAGACAATCTTAGTGCCTTAGTGGGATAGACCGAAATGGTAAAATGAGACAATCTTAACGGCTGAAGGTACTATTTCATAAATAGACTTTTGAATTAACCATCATAAGACATCTACGGTAAAACTTTTTCTCATTTAAAATACTGTAGTTTATTCACATGTGATTATATGAACAATTACATTTTGTATTTTCTTTTGTATAACTTAATAATTTCACATGCAGATCAGGCCAAACCAAAACAGTTAACTACTTAATTCACAAATCTGTCGTGACATGTTAATATATGGATTGCCAAGAAGACTCCTGTGAATCCAATTTTACCAAGAACATCGGTTAAAGTTTTTGCAAAACAATTAGGTTTAAGCAAGACTGGTTTTGTAACTTTGTTCCGACTTCTGAAACTTCAATTTCAAACATAAAATAAAAGTTGGTAACCTTGTTTCAAGCCTTGGCCATGAATGAAGAACATGCATTAGGAACCTGATGATGTTGCTTGGAAAGCTGAAGAATGTAAAGTCACTTGCCTTGCTCTTGTTTTCTCTACGGCGGGTTGGTATGGCAGATTGCAGGCTTCCTTCCGTTTGTATGGCGAACTGAGGGCTTCCTTATGTTAAGTTACATCAATGCCACCTACTATTTCAGGTGCTACTGATTCAGGAATACCAAACTACCCAGTAATACCACACTCACTGGATCAAAAATATTGAAGTTTATCGAGATGCTTCTCTACATAATGAGCTTTGGATTGTAATATAATTTAAACGTTATACATATGTGTGTGTTTCTGTCATCTGACATGGTTTAAGACAGCGCCACAAAATGAACCCTATTTGGTACATTACGCACATAGCAACATCCATCAGTTGTCTACACCACAGTCCTGAAGAATCTACATAAGCCTTGAAATTCAATTCATGCTGCTAGGATTGCTTGTTCGTACCCTGTCTATAATCATTTGCATACCGGACAAATCTTGGGCATAACCAACGACCTGTCACAAAGCATACTTTCCGTTGAAAAAGTCTGGCCTATAATCCCTCCGTGTAATGCCAAACTCAATTAGCAGTTCATATTGATAAAAGAAGGAACCTGTGACAGTGTCTGGGGATCACTAAATCCATCAATAATGCAGCAGGCATGCACATCTTCAAGCTGAAACCTCTCCACCCAATGCAACCGCCGAGTTAACAAGTTTGGCTTCTCAACCTTCTAACCAATAGATGGTAAAAAGAATTAATGCTCAGAAATCAGATGCACAGAGGTTTTCATCACTACAAATAAGAGGTAAGGGCCAATTGAGTACGTCAACTTGTATGAGGTGGAGTAAAGAGTACATTATGTTGCATTTGATATTCATAACACTAAAAACCGAGTTTTGTACTTATGAATGTCAAATGCAACATAATGTACTCTTTACTCCACCTCATACAAGTTGACGTACTCAATTGGCCCTTACCTCCCTTGTGAAAACATCAGCAACTCATATTTTTTCATACCAATTTCAGTGCCTCGCCATTACAATAGTATTTTTCCATAGTGGTTCAGAAACAAAGCGTCAAGGCAGGGTGACTTGAACATGCACATGAGCCATCCTGAACTTTTAACATTATATGATCCAGCCAAGCAAACTTTTAACAAGGAAAGGTTAAGGGTGTCTTTGTGTTTTTGGTTTGAAGGAAGGGATGGAGGAAGGGAAAGAGATTGGCCTCCTCACCTTGCTAATAATCCAGCCAAACAAGGAAAGGTAAGATTTTTCCCTCCTTCCCTTCTCCTCCCCTAGAATTAAACATGTACTCATATAAAATTAAAATCGTGACAAGAAATACTATGCAACACAAAGTAGATTTACACGTGTCCAGCACATCCAACAGTTCATCACCATAAACAAGTTTATGGAGAACATACCTGTTTGTCCAATGCTGAGACAATCTAAGATCAGGTTGTTGAACTCCATGATCTTGATCAAGAATGGTACAATCAGATGCAAAGAGCTATTTGTTAATTGAGGATAACAAGTTCTCTAAGCTAAACAACTATTGAGGACAGCAAAAGTAAAAAGGTAAAGTTTAAGGATACATTTGATTCACACTCACTTCTTGATGGAGACTTCTGGTTATAATTCTAACACCAAAAACATTCAAAAAAATTAGTGAAATTCCAAAAATTGAGGAAGCGGTCCAGCTCAGCTGGTCGCTGACTCACTCTCCCATACGGGAGGTCTTGGGTTGAAACTCCATGGAGGGAGTTTCAGCCCTGTTACCCAGGATCCCCCCAGCCCCCTACCCCTGACCCCTTGGGGTAAAAAAAAACAAAATAATAATAATAATAATAATAATAATAATAATAATAATAATAATAATAATAATAATAATAATAATAATAATAATAATAATAATAATAATAATAATAATAATAATAATAATAATAATAATAATAATAATAATAATAATAATAATAATAATAATAATAATAATAATAATAATAATAATAATAATAATAATAATAATAATAATAATAATAATAATAATAATAATAATAATAATAATAATAATAATAATAATAATAATAATAATAATAATAATAATAATAATAATAATAATAATAATAATAATAATAATAATAATAATAATAATAATAATAATAATAATAATAATAATAATAATAATAATAATAATAATAATAATAATAATAATAATAATAATAATAATAATAATAATAATAATAATAATAATAATAATAATAATAATAATAATAATAATAATAATAATAATAATAATAATAATAATAATAATAATAATAATAATAATAATAATAATAATAATAATAATAATAATAATAATAATAATAATAATAATAATAATAATAATAATAATAATAATAATAATAATAATAATAATAATAATAATAATAATAATAATAATAATAATAATAATAATAATAATAATAATAATAATAATAATAATAATAATAATAATAATAATAATAATAATAATAATAATAATAATAATAATAATAATAATAATAATAATAATAATAATAATAATAATAATAATAATAATAATAATAATAATAATAATAATAATAATAATAATAATAATAATAATAATAATAATAATAATAATAATAATAATAATAATAATAATAATAATAATAATAATAATAATAATAATAATAATAATAATAATAATAATAATAATAATAATAATAATAATAATAATAATAATAATAATAATAATAATAATAATAATAATAATAATAATAATAATAATAATAATAATAATAATAATAATAATAATAATAATAATAATAATAATAATAATAATAATAATAATAATAATAATAATAATAATAATAATAATAATAATAATAATAATAATAATAATAATAATAATAATAATAATAATAATAATAATAATAATAATAATAATAATAATAATAATAATAATAATAATAATAATAATAATAATAATAATAATAATAATAATAATAATAATAATAATAATAATAATAATAATAATAATAATAATAATAATAATAATAATAATAATAATAATAATAATAATAATAATAATAATAATAATAATAATAATAATAATAATAATAATAAAATCCCCAAGGTGACATTCATAATAGTTCTATATCAATAAAGGTACCATGCTCGTGTGCACCAAACAATCCTCAATCAGGTTAGCAACATCAGTCATTATAGTAAAACCATTGGTGCTTTCAAGCTTCTTGTTTTCTGGAGGATTTGTCTCGGATATGGTGTCACTTTGATTGGATACCGATACCAAAGAACATTTTGTTTTCTCATCTGCTCTGACCCTTGTCTTCTTGCATTTACTGGGTAAGCAAATAGTTTCTGTCCTTCCAATATTTCTGGCTGTAACAGCTTCACCGTTAACACTCTCAACTTCTTTGGACTCGCCCTGAAGCTGAGAAACATTATCCTCAGATATCCTCTGTACAGCTTGTGTAGGAAACTGGCTTGATGTGCATACTCCAGCTTCTCGATCTTCAGAAGTTACTTCTTTAGGACAAAATGGACCTGGATCAACAACTTTTTTCTGTACAAACAATAAATAACAGATGACAGATCTAATAAATGTGAAGACAAGAGGATCCTGTTAAAAGTTTCCGAACAAGTGAAGGGAGAAGCAAACGGCTAACCTGTTTAATACACTCATAAATCCACTCACAAGTTACTGTTGGGATGCCATTATTACAAGCAAGCTCATATTTTGGGCCACTTCTGAATTTGCACAACAAATATGTGACATTTCTTCTCATTTTATCAGCAAACTTAGCTCCAAGGATAAAGAATAAATTTCTTAGCAGCTGCTTTTCTTTTTCATCGTATTGTGAAACACAGAAACGGAAGCTCTTAAATTCAGGGAAAGGTACTTCACAAGGAAGTGGAGAATAGCAAATGTGACTGCCAATGTCCAACAAGCGTCCATCCTTCATAAAAGCATTTCCAGCTTCATTAGCATTCATTTTCAACCAATGAAAACACTGCAAGTACAAGAGATACCCAGATATACACATATTACCCCTATACCCAGATTTACATATACTACCTGCGTCCAATTTTATGTGTTGTTTTGAATTGAAAAATAATTAATGAAGTAGTTGAAAATTAAAAGTTTTGGTTCATGTTTGTGTAGACGGTAGAATAAAGTGAAATGATATGAATCACACATTTCTTTCCAAAAAAGGAAACAAGATGATTTTTTTGGGACAACCAAAATGGGACAGAAGGAGTATTACCCCATACACCTTTGACAGGCCACTTTAAATAGTCATAAAAACATAGCGCCTCATGAAAAACAATATAACGTTTTAGAAAAATGATAAAAACTTTAGAACAACAGGAAGGTTGCGAGTTGCGACACAAAGGGTTTACAGCATAAGATTGTTCCACTGTGCTTTATTTATTTATTTATTTTTACAACAACAAAACTCAAGCTTTATTCCCATGAGTGTTTGGGGGTCAGCTAACAAGAATCGACATATTATATCAAAGTTAAAACATGAGATAGAGAAAGAGAGACAAATAATAAAGGACCAAGCCTCCACATGTATGTTCTCCCTCCACTTCATCCTCTCTAAATTAAATTAATTGACATTATGAATTTCATGTCACTGATCCCAATTAGTAGGAATTTAAGTTGGAATTAGTTTTCTTTTAAGTTTAGAGGGTAGAAGAAAAAGTGAACATACAAATAAGTATCTAGAGATTGAGTATTGATAAGATGTTTTAAAAAACAAAGACGATATTTAAATACCAGATCATCAGAACAACATTTTATATCTTAGAGAAGTTGCGTACAACATTTTATATCTTAGAGAAGTTGCGTTTATTATAAGCTGCATTTTAGTTTGTGAGAACTAGTATCACAGATTGGCTGCATTTTTGTCTGTGATACTAGTATCTTAGATTGGCATTTTCCCAAGTATAACATACAATTAAGATCTAAATTTTGCATAATAATAACTAGGTAAGTCATATTCAGAATTATACAAGAACCATATATATATATATATATATATATATATATATAATGAAAACTCGAGTTGTTTTCCTGTGCGTTTTGTCTAGTCACTGGATTAAGTCTTGTTTGGATATATATATATATATATATATATATATATATAATGAAAACTCGAGTTGTTTTCCTGTGCGTTTTGTCTAGTCACTGGATTAACTCGAGTTGTTTTCGAGTTGATCAGTGACTAGACAAAACGCACAGGAAAACAACTCGAGTTTTCATTATAATAGAAAATGTCAGATACTCTCAAATAGATCACTTACCTCCAAACAAGACTTAATCCAGTGACTTGTCACATATGACCCTATAGCAGCATCTGTCTGGGAGGGTATCACACCATGGCATTCAATAACAAAATGCACGTATCCTTTAATCTGACTATCCACTAACTCTCCTCCACCTTGGTTCACCCACTGTACAATGTCAGCTCTCTGCCCATACACAAATGGATATTCTTCATCATACACTCATACAGATAAACAGAGATTGTGAGCAAATGGTGAGAAAAAGAAATAATATCACAGGAAATCTATGATGACTATGAATAACCTCAAGATTGTGAGACAATGTTGTACTCCCTCCGTCCCTTAAAACTTTGCCATCTTTCCTTTTTGGGACGTCTCAAAAAACTTTACAACATTCATTTTTAATCAATATTTTGTGGTTTCTGTTATTTCTCTCTCCTCTACACAAACCTCAACCACACAATTTTTACTTTATTATTCTTCGTGCCAGTCAACGTTGGCAAAGTTTTAAGGGATGGAGGTAGTATATTGGTGTTGCACTTGTGGTGCAGAAACTAGTTGGCATGCTTGAGGTTAGGACGGATTTGGGGGGTGGGGCTACCACCCCCCTGGAACTGTAGAAAAATTTATTAAATATATAATATTTATATATTTTTTATGATTAACTATATATATAAATGTTCGTCCCCCTTAATTTAAATTCTAAACTCATCTCCAAAGTTTTAAATAAGACTTAAAGTTTGTTGTAGTGTTTTAAGGACAAACAACTAAAGTAATTTAATTTAATACTCCTTCCGTCCCAATTTGATGGTCTCGTTTCTTTTGGGCACAAATTTTAATAAAGTGGTTGAAAAGGTAAAAGTTGTGGTTGAGATTTGAGTAGAAAAAGGTGAAATGATGTGAACCACATCTTTCTTTCCAAAAAGGGAAACAAGACCATCATTTTGGGACATCCCAAGAAGGAAATACAAGACCATCATTTTGGGACGGAGGGAGTATAATTTATGTTTTCTTCGTAAATATAGAAGGTACTAATTCTTTGATTTCAGCAATATAATAATAGTAAAATTCATTAGTTTAAAATATTCGCTATCAACTCTATAATAATAGAATGTAATTTTTTAAATTCTATCTTTATAAGATAAAAAAATCTTATACTCCGTATTCTTTATCTTTCTTATGTCATATCTTTTTTCTCTCTTTTCTCTCTCTCTCTCTCTCTCTCTCTCTCTTTCTTTTATCTTTTTATCTTCTTTTATCATTCTTAAGTTCTTGTTATTTTTATCTTTTATCTTTCTTATGTTCTCTTATGTTACATTTATCTTTATTTTATCTTTTTTTATCTTAACTTATCTTTTTATTTTACTTATCTTTCTTTTCTTTTTGGCTCCGATGGCATGGATTGACCCCAAACTCTTTAGAGAATACGGCTTGGATATTGTTGTTGTATAAGATAACAAAAAGTATATGATTGTAGAATATAAACTAAGTTATATTGAAGATTTTAGTAGAAATCAATGGAGCAATTTTCTGATAAAGTTCAAATTGAACCATATATAACCATGCGTGATATATATACAAAAATAAGTCTAGTTTCTGAGTTATTTTAAAAAACATATTGAGCAATTATTAAACATTCAAAGATTTTAGCATTAACACAGATAAAATATACACACATTACATAAACTGTCAATATTTGTATTATTAATACACCATCCGGAGTATTAAATTCAATATAAAGAATCCCATATGTAACATTGTATAGCTACATATACTTTCTTGGGCTACAAGCATTCAACTATGTAATTAAATTATTCAGGAAAAAGTTACTTAAAAATAGCATATCTGGGTATCCATCGATTAAACACTTTATTGTGTAAATAAATTAATAACTACTAAAACTTTGTGATCAATCCTAAGAGGTGGGAGGAGTAGCCCAATACCTTATAAATTGATTTCAATCTTTACATGTGGTTGGCGCCGAATGCGAGATGACTTAACATATCCCGCAAGATCGTGGCAATTGGAGCATATAAATATTGAAGTTTGTGTGCTCGTTCATGAGTCTTAGTCGGATCCATCACTTGTCTAAAGCTCGTTCTTATTAAAATTAAATTGTTTTTATACAAAACAGTGGTCCTTTTAAATATTCTATTATCTTCTTAAAGTAGGTTTGCAGTGAAAACATTCACCCCTTAACATAAAATCCTAGATCAGTCCCTGCTTGTGGTGACAACATAATTACAAAATGTGGCTTTGCATAGGTAAGGAAATCAGAAATCATGTTTTGTCATTCCCAAGAAGTTCCTCTTCAAGCCTTTTAATCAACTTATAAGGTTCTACTTTTACAGTGTGGCATCCAAGAAATTAAAACTTTGATTGGAATGTAAAAGAACGAAAGTGAGTTTGGTAATCCCTTTGACCTGAGAAAGTTTGGTCAGAGTTCCTTAAAAAGGGTAAGTTTTTAAAACAGTGGGTGACTTGATCCCCCCCATAAATTACACTTACCACTTTCTCTGGATTCTGGAGTATAATGGCTAAAGCGTCAAATAGGTCATGAACTAACTTAAAGTGTTCAATTAGCCCCTTATATAGGAGGTTCTGCCCGGCCGTCGCCACTTGGGGCGGTTCCCGGTTGAATTTTTTTAGCATCTTCTTCATTAAGTCTAGTTTACTCATATCCAATTTCAGCTAAAAATTAAATCGGGAAGGCAGTCAAATGATTTTCCAAAATGTACTGTGTTGTTTAACTGCGCAGTTATCTTCAAAAAATCATTTGACTGCCTTCCCGGTTGAGTTTTTAGCTGAAATTTGGTATGGATAAACTAGACTTAATGAAGAAGATGCTCAAAAAATTTCATCAAAAAATTCCACCAGGAACCGCCCCAATTGGCGACGGCCGGGCAGAACCTCCTATATAAGGGGCTAATTGAACACTTTAAGTTAGTTCATGTACTTATTTGACCCTTTAGCCGAGTTTAATTGATGGGATAACACATTAACACTAAGCAGTTCCGGGTGCACAGGTATGGTTCATATATGGTCCAATGGGTGAGTCAGAATTTATTGCGCAAATTGAGACTAGCATAGTCCTTTAATTGGAGAAGCTTATTAATGTAGGGAAGCTTAGTTTTCTGAAAGCGTGTGATATTAATATCAAAGCGCTGACCTGCTTATCAGGGAAGCTAGCAGAGAAGCAAAACCGCTTTCCCTTAAATACAGCAGATGACTTTATATCCTCCTCAATGGCTCCGCTGGAGCTTGCTTGCATATTAATCTCATTTTTACCATTCAAAGTAGAGAACTGGGATTGGCTTTCAATCTGAGAAGCTCCACTCTTTTTTATGCCATCTACTTCTTTGCTCTTCTCCAGTGAATTTCCAGATCCAATATTCTTGTAGCACTGAACACTATCACTTGAGTTTCCTTGGTTGGAAAATGCATTGATCACAGAAGCTCCTTTATTGGAGCTGACAAGTTCTATGGGCCAAAATACACAATAAATCAAATATTGTGTACTGAAACAGCATAAATGGTACCATAACTTGTAGTATTGATGCACTTCGGTATCTCAAATATTTAATGAAGCAAATCAGTACTCTAAGTAATTTAATTGTCATAACCGGTGGTCCATTTGAGATACTGGAAAATGTCGTCTGACTTGGAAGTCTGAGCCCCACATACATTCCCCAAAAAATATACTCCTTCCGTCCCATTTTGTAAGATACACTTTTGTTTTTGGGTTGTCCCCCAAATATGAACACTTTCTAAATTGAACTCCACTAACTTTTTACTTTCCCACTTTATCCATTTATCTATGATTTCACCCTTTACTTTTTGTGGACCCATCTTTCTCTTTCTTACTCTTTGGAGGTTAGAATTGTAAAACAACCACTTTATCCTTTATTTTCTTAAAACCCACACCGAACCCACATGTATCTTACATTATGGGACGGAGGTAGTACGAAGTATAATATTATAATTCACATAATCAATGATATCAAACTCAGACCAAGTAGTCTTACCGATTCTAATGATACCATACATGTAGCTAGTCTAGTCACTGCAACAATCAGAACTGCACCCGACTTAGTGATGACTGACAATATCACACTCAGAGCTCGTTTGGTAGTTTGCACATTAAAGCTTTACATGTAAAATGATTGCATGTAAAGTTTAGGGCTGCAAAATAATTTGCATGCAAAATAGAATCACATCGTTTGGTTATGTGTTTAATCACTTTTAAATTACATACAAACTTTTTACCTCGTTTGTTTAGAAAATTACCTTCCATGTAAATACGAGTATTTAAAAACGACTACATGACCATTCACCATAATAAAAAGATGGACGTGTACAACTACTAGCTACTGCTACCTAGAAAAGTGAGTGGTGTGCAAAAAAATTACTCACCACTTTATTTCATGCAATAAAAAAAATACTAATAAATTCAATATTCTGCTTATTCAAAAATCATAAAAAGTTCTTTAAAATCACTTAAATGAACCTAATTAGATTTCTCCATTCAAGACAGCTCGAATATAAATCAACCAGAATGAAAAAATAGAAAAAAGCATCACTCTATATTAATAGGAAAAAGCTTAAAAAAAGCATCACTTTAATAGAAGAAATATAAAAAAGCTTAACAACATGCTGAATTGCTTAACTAAGTTGATATGAAGCTTCACAACATAAGTCATGAAACTACATATGAACAAACGCATAACCTGGTTTCAGCCACCAATATTTATATATACGTATATATATTAATTACAGCTATAATTACTATGTACTATAGGATAATAAACCAGCTAATACATGCTAAGTTCTCAGAATCATCATAAAAATAATAGAATATAAATAATTGAATCCACCTAAAGGATTTATCCAATCCAATCTTACACTCCAAATTGCCCAATAGATCAAACTGTTCAAAACATATAAGTCAAAATTTGACTTCTTTCAAAGGCAGGGAAAATCACGTGCTCTGCTTGTATTTAAGGGAGTCAGATGGATGATCAAAGGCAAACACTATTCATCAGAAATACTCCTATCACATATCAATCGTTTCCTTATCTCTTTCCAAAAGAAATTCCACCAGCGCCTATGATGATGAGAGGTGTACTCTTAACGATTTGTTGTTCTTATATAGGAGATGAGTTGATTGAAGGCAATTGCCGGCAACTGTTTTTGGTTTTGCCGCCATAGTCCAAGCAGAAAAGAACTTGTTTGCTGCCACACTCCAAGCGAATAAAATAGGGCTGGATCGTAAAACGGGAAGCACGATATATTTTGTAATAGGTAACGTCGGATGTAAAGTAGTTTACTAGCCTCCCTCCACGTAAAATATTTTACATGGTACAGTGTAAAATGTTTTAAAAAAAGTGTCCTAAAGTTTACATCAAATAAGTAAAACAAACAGTGTAAAATGTTTACATCCCCACACTTTGCGTGCAAAGTGTTTACTTTACACCGTACCAAACGGGCCCTCAGTGGATTTGTTAAGTACACGTTTTTTGTCAAATGCACAAATTTAGGCTGCCAGGTCAGATTATTTTAGCGGGAATTTCAATTCAGATGATATTATCAGTTGAGACAATTGAATGCACTTGATACTGATTTGCTTCATTCAATAGTTGGGAATTGGGAAACCAAAATGCATTATTAACAGTGAAGTGCCATTTATTCATTTAACCTTAATGATTACTCATAAAGGATAGCAAGTGCAAGCAAACATGACACTTAAATGCGATATAAGTAAGGTGTATCACGGAAGGATAGAACCCATGAGATGACAGCAACAATAATAACAACAGAAAAATACAGAGTAATCAAAGTAAGCAGACCTCTGAGTAGAAGCAAATCACTGGCAATGTGCTTTTGAAGCACACAGACTTCTTTCTTTTCACTTACGCAGTCTGCGAGCCAATCTGGTTTTACCACATGGATTACACCCAAAGCTGCAAGGTTTCTTATCTCTTTTATTTCACTACAAAACCGTAAAATTTAGTCTATGAGAAGGATATCATGATTCATGATACCAAGACTTTTGAAGTAAACTATGCACACAAGAATTGTATTGAGATAGTGTAACATCTACAAAATACATTTTTATCATAGAGCTGATAACTTAATTAGTCTGACCAGCTGGCTTGGTAAGTAATATAGTGAATCAAAGAAATAAGACAAAGCCATATAAGAATAACTTGTTCTTCACAGTCATCATAAAGATTTCCACCTTGCATGTCAAGTAACAAAAGTTCATAAATAGGGCTAACACATAGCAAATTTTAACAAATACAACTATCATTGTTTTTTCCTAGAAATAAGACTCATTAATGTTGTACTGAATCCTAATTTTAGTAGAAAACAGGGATGTTCCTATTTGTGCACATAAACCATGTTGTACTCTTATTTGCACTATTTTCTTCTAAAAATATATGGAGCGTCAGTAATTAGCTAGAGGATGAGGGCAATAGTAGTAGATCTATATTTCTACAAGTCGTAAAAAATAGTTACTGGAACATTAATATGATAATTTATTGAGTGTATCATGCACTATCTTACTGAATAATGGCATGGCAGTGACAAAAAAAACTTTGTGAATATTATTACTGCATACAAGGTAAAATTAGTTAGGGTGGAATATAGATTGAGGTCAAGAACATGTCAGCATGATAATGAAATGGAAGCCAAAAAAGTGCACTATATTAAAATGTTCCAACAAGTAGACTATCATATCTCTTGACTCTTGCAAAAGCATTAGTGTGATGATTTATTGGGCATACATCAGGTTATCAAAATCTCCTTAGCGGTAGTTCATGATTTTTTGTAGAGTTATGCACAGCATGTTTCATAGATCTTACATCTCAGATGGAGATCCGACTATTATGTGTGTCAACTTCTCACTGAAAGACATATAACGGGAACCACCACCTTTACGAACCATGTTCACAAGTTTTCGCATATCGGATTCACTAAAACCAAGAATCAGAAGTCTGCAGTCTGACAAGTATAAATCGTTATCATCTGTTTTGGAGTCAGAAACAACACATTCATCAAAATTTGTATCAGTTTTTTGCTGCTCAGTGGGTAGATCATTTGATTCCCTCTTGGAAAAGAAAGGTTCCTCTAAAAATGAAGGTGTGTTCTGAGAGAAGAGGGGTCCCTTATCTGAATCTACAGTGTAACCATATGAAAGAGCTTGAGAATTTGATATTGTTGCAGTGGAAGACAAAGTTTGCACACTTTGAATGCCACTCTCTATGCTGTGTTGGTTTTTCATTCTTGCAGCAATCACAGTTGCTGCAGAGGTACCCTGAATAGGATATGACTCCTCATTAAGGCGTGCTGTTCATCGCAAAGAGGTTAAAAATCATTCGCTTCAGCTTTATAATATTATAGTTGGAGGTGGAACTTTGGGGGAAAAACTATGCTTCTTCAACCAACAAAAACACTACCTCTTTTAGCAACAGATTGGTCAAGCCACCTCTTGCTAACTATGTATATTGTACCCCAATTTGTGGCAACTTCATATTTATCTCCTTTAGGAGCTTATAACAGTCAAGAAAACAAATGCACCCAATGCTTAAGCAGATTCAATGCATGTGCACCTTCTAAATGCTAAGAGCCTAAGAAAACACTCAGAAAACACTCATTCATCAGGACTGAAAACATGAAAGACTATGTTTGAGGGGTCGGGTTGGGGGCTCTCGAACTGGAATTTGGAAATTACCATAGCATCCCAACAAGAAAGGGAAAACCTGGGCACCAATACAGTTATACGATTACTAAATTATAATTGATGCATATCATTACACGTACTCATGATGGATCATATTTGATGCAAAATAATCTCTCCAAGAAACTGATGGTACAAGATGAATAGCGCCAATAAAAAAGGATATCCCGCAAATTAAATGTGTGCAACTTTTTGTCAGATCACGAGAATATTTGCCTCCATTTTGTAGGACTATATTTTCCACCTCCGTCCTCTCATCTGAAACAGAACATATGTATTTCAAAACAAACATTTAAAACAGTCCCATTAAATAATACGTAGTATAATTCCTGAACCTGTACTTATTCTGGTAATACAGATGGTGAGCCCAGAAAAAGGTTGGACCCTGAATGACTCTGGAGCAACAAAGTGATGCTCCTTCCAGCACTGGAGTAGCCAAGTAATACTAACAATTGGTTTCTTCCCTACATTTAGTGCCCACTACAAATGTACCACATAAAGAGCGAAGAAAGAACTGGTTAAGGGATACAACAAAAAAGTAAGAAAAAATGTATGTTATTAATGATGTCAGTGAAAATGAAAAAAAAATGAAACCTTATACTCGAGCTTAACAGACATTTAACTCGGTTCAGGCAGGAAGGGTGACTAGGCCTTTCCAAATTGCACACATTTCAAGAGTTATGGTCGTATACTATTCCAATAATGACCCCTTACAAATATTTCCATCATTTCAAATAGAACCAAAGACTCGGTAATTTTTGGCTTGGGGATATGAAGGAATAAAGCAAAATGGCTTATAAACTGTCTGCGCTTCTTTGTGATGAAGCAGCAATCAGTCCATGCAACTTTCGACGCAATTTTCATCATGGATCATCCGGAAGCAGTCTGTGTTTAGTACAAGGTAAGGTTGCGTACATCTGACCCCCCTTACCCCACCATAGGTGAGACCGTGAGAGTCTTAGCGGCACAGAGATAATGTTGTTTTTTGTTTAATAAAGCCTTAAAAATCCTACCCACAGAGTCCTTGATGAGCAAAAAATAGAATATCAAATTAATATAGGTATGCCAACTAATAGCATAACAAAACTGATAAAACAAAGCTAATAGGAATAAAACTGTTGCGGATCATTAGAAATCCCTTTTGTTGTAGGCTCATTCTAGCAACGTATGTTGTGGTGGCATCATAGCAATGATAGCTCCTCTCATAAGCAGCATCCATATCACCACCACCCTTGTTGACCAAGAGCATATTTGCAAGCTCAAATCAGGATATGTCTCACGTAAAGAGTCCTCCGTTGGAATATGCTCTAAGGCAATCATAGAATATGATTTGTGCTTAGTTATTTTTAGTGATCATTCATTTAATAAAGTTATGAACTCTTCTGTAGTATTTTTAGTACACTTTATTATTAATTTGTCATTGAATAATATATTTAGTACCTGAATAAGTATATGATTTGATTGATGGATACTACACATTCTGATAGGAACCAGCCTATTAGAGTAGTAGAATATTATTAGAAATAATAATAATAATAATAATAATAATAATAATAATATTAGTAATAAGTGTTTGTAAGTATTCTAGTATAAATAGACGGGAAGGGGGATTAGTAGAGGGGAGGCTTTTTTGGGGACATTTGTCTGGGACTAAGAAGATTTGAGACTAGTCGTCTCTATCTTTGGGAGGCTTCGGCCTTGTTACAGTTTTCATTCTGTAATCGATATCTCCATCAATAAAGTTTTTCAGATGATTTCTTGTTAATCTTGTGTAATTGTTCGGGATATTTGGAGGTATCTATCATTGGTATCAGAGCTGTTACTTCCTGGAGACGGTGAATCTGAATCATCGAAACAATGGAGGAATTCGAGATGACACCGCAAATGGAAAAAAGTTTTGATAATATAGACCGACATATGAGGGAGATACAAGCAAGTATGGCCGAGTCGCAAGAAACGATGAAGACGATGATGGTCGCTATGCAAGAAGCGATGCAAGCGAGCGTCGCAGATTGGCAGAACCGACTTCAAAGTCATTCGTGACATACATCGCACCATTCGCACCGATCTTCGCATCGCTCATCCCACCCTAGCTCTTCGCATCGCTCCTCTCCTCACTCGTCGCAGAAGGAGTCGCCGATGAAATCGCGAACTACTTCTCACTCGCAGAAGGAGTCGCGTCATCGACATAAGCAACAATCGACTAACTCAGAGGCATCGGAAGACCGATCGAGGAATCGATCACACACCTCGCATCGATTTCCACATCAGGGAGAGGTTGACAACATCGCACTTCTAACAAGGAGCCATAGGCATCATTCATCGCAGTCGCTCACCAAGTCGCAGACTGAGTCGCTAAGGAGGACTCCTAGTTCGCGTTCAAGAGAGACGCGAGTGAGAGGAGAGTCATCATCTTTATCACCAGAGAAATTTCACTCTTATTCTTCTTCTAAAGCAATTTCTCTGAAGTCAGCTATTTCAAAGGAGGAAGAATTACCTCTATTCTACGAGCATGAAGCATATGAATGGATAGGGAGGATGGAAAGATATTTCCGAGTCAAATCTATTGCAGAATGATTTAAGGTGGATGTAGCAGCAAAAGCAATGGGGGAAGCCGCAGATGGCTGGTTTCAATGGTGGGATTTTCAAAAGAGAGAAGATAGTTGGCAGGCTCTAAAAGAAGATTTGATTAAGGATTTTCCACCTAGACACCGGCAGAAGACAGGGAAGACAGCAAGACAGGAGTCATCGAGATCAACAAGAACTTCCTACAGTTCGCAAAAGTCATCACCAACATCATCCTCCAGTTCGCAGGCTTCAATTGCTACTACCAGTTTACTTAAGAAGCAATCCAGATATGAAGTTTCCAGCTCGCAATCCGGAACTGTTTCTGTCAGACCTGCAGCAACTTGTCTCAGTCCACAAGAAAATTTGGAAGGAATGGAAAATGTGGATTCAGATTTAAACTCATCTCCAAAGGATGTTTTGATTGAAGAAGTAAGTCTTACTCTTGGACTAGAAGACATGACACCATAGTTATTACGGCGTCGCTGCATCGTCGCCTTGGCGTCGCCTAGGCGTTGTGGCACCCAAGGAAGATCGCCATGGAAGCTCGACTCGCCACAAGGCAATTAGGCTTCGCCGCCTCGTTTCCGCATCTTCACTGCAGCGTTAGAAAGAAGCCATAGACGTCAGACAACGACGCAGAAGTGTGACCCGATGATTAAGAACAGGCCCAAACCCAAATCCAAATAAAAAAGTTAACCTATCTGGCAAATTGGGCGACTCTAAAAGTCACCGCCATCCCAAACGCTGAGTCGTTACTCGTCAGCCAGGTCGTTTGTAGTTCGCATCTAGTCTCAAGTTTTCAATATTTTCCTTCTGCCAGGTAATTCCGTCGTCGTCGCAATTTTGGGACAAGCATCGGATATGTAGTGCGTATTAGTTTTATTTGCTTCAGTATTTTAAAAATTCCCGTGCAAAATTTTAATTTACACGGTTTAGGCTTGACTTGTTATTTTGCTCCAGGATTTTCCTTTACTGTCTAGTGTAGTAAATTTTCCTTACACGGTTTAATTTCCTTCACTATTTTTTGTATTTCTTTTTTTGGTTGCTCCAGTAGGGTGTGTTAATTGCTTTATATTCTTTCTATTCTATGAAAACAAATTTGAGTTTTCTCTACTAGGTGAAATTTCAGTTTTTTTAATACTTGTATATATTTATATTTAATTTTATTAGTGTCTTGAATTTATGCTGAAATTTATGTTGTGTGTAATTGTGTTGTATAACATTTAATAAATTATTTTTAATTGTTAGTGAAATTTCAATTGTTTTATTTTGTATCTAATAATTTAATAACTTCAGTATATAAAACATATTATATGTGTTTAAGAGTATATATGTGCTACATGTAGCATTTCAGTATATAAAACATATTATAGATTTATTATTGTACCTATGTCGACTTATCGCCGCGATGTCGCCACGACGGGCGCCATGTTGCCATGGCGGTGTGGCAGCCCAGAGGCGCCACGCCGCAAGACCCCGCCGTAACAACTATGCATGACACACCAAGTGAAAAAAAATTGATGTCAGGAGAGGGGGTAGTCCTAAGGCTTCATCTGGAGAGTTCAGAATAGCAGATTTCTTAAATGAGAAGGCAGTGGGAAATTTGGTGGAACAAAATAGTGAAACCAAAGGAAAGATGAAATTGATACTTAATTTAGAAATGGCCATGTCTTTTTTGGGTGGAAGATCTGATTACCTGCTAGGACACCAACTTTGGAAATTTTACTTGGAAAATAATCTTTTTTGTTCCTTAGTTAAGAGAATTGCAGCGGGAAGAGTAAATCAGTTTACTTGCTAAAACCTTTTAGACTTTCCTTTTCAAATGAGGTAGGTAAGGAATTAAAAGAGGAAAAGTTGATAGGAAAAACCGAAAAAAAAGATTTTGCAGCCAATACTGTACTAGTCTCAGAAGATAGAAACTATGAGGAGCTGCAGAATAGTAATGAATTAATTTCTGCTATGGAAGGCTGGAAGAAGGCTGAACCAGATGAAACTGTTACCTATGCTGTCTTGAAATTGAATCCAAATGTTTTGTCTTCTGGCTTGAGTTCTTGGTCCAATTTTCGGGAAGAAAGGGCTCCTTCTTATTACTCAGGTTGGAGTAAGAATGCATACCAAGATGGTGGATATTGCTATGTGATGGTGGGCAATGATCAATGTATCTCAAGAGTTTCATCTCTGAGTTGTTCTATTAGAAAGGGGTTGGGAGTAGGATTGACTGAGAGTGATATGATAAAGGTTAGAGAAATGCCAGTGGTCTGTTTACTTGTTCCAGATGGGGGTGGAGTTGGTGACTACCAGTTTCAGTTGGCTGTTGTGAATGCTGCAATATCAAGGAATGAAGCAACTGAAACTCAAGGACTTGAGTTATATCCTGAAGCCAGAGCTATTAACAAATGGAAGAGTGAGCAATGGATGATAGGTGAAGATGTTGGAAATATAGAAGTGGAACCCTATTTGCTGGAAAGAATAGTTGAGTATCAATGTGCTGAGTATCTATGTGCAGCTCTTCCTTTGCTTAGCAATACCACAGTATACATCTGGCAGCACAAAGCATCAGAATCCAGATTGGTGGTGGGGTTTGTAAGCTGCCAGACATCTTTGGGTCTTCAGGCAATGAAGTTCATGGCTCCTCAATCAGTTAGGTATTGGGAAGGTAGAGGAGCAAGAAAGAAGAAGAAGCAAAAGATCTTGGCGGTTTTCTATCGCCCACCTTGAGGGCAAGGTGGATGTTTAGGGGAGAAGTATTGATAGGAACCAGCCTTTTAGAGTAGTAGAATATTATTAGAAATAATAATAATATTAGTAATAAGTGTTTGCAAGTATTCTAGTATAAATAGACGGGAAGGGGGATTAGTAGAGGGGAGGCTTGTTTGGGGACATTTGTCTGGGACTAGGAAGATTTGAGACTA